TGGGGTCTGCCACGCCTCCTTCTGCCTGTTACATACATTTCAACAAAACCATTATACCCTGATTTCCCATTGAAAATGGGTTCAGGGTATAATAACTTGAACTTGGTTTATTTTTCACAATAATTTATTTATTTGTTTTTTTTTATGAACATTTTTTTTGCGCCTCAAGGTGATATTACTGGTGTACAGTTTTGCCGATTTTTTTTTTGTCATCCTCGAAGCTTTTAAAAAAATACTTTTTTGGGATCTTGTTGACCTCTTGCTTTTTGTTGCTGTATTTCTATTTCTCTCGTCAATCGTAGCGTTGCATCGTCCTCTCATGGGCCCTTTTCAGTTTGGGAAACAAGAAAAAGTCATTTAGGGCCAGTTCTAGGGAATATAGAAGCTGCGGCACGACTGATTCTTGTTTTAGATGCCGACATTTGATACAGATTCTTTGTTCCATTTTTTTTGGCATAGGCAAAGATTAAAAAGTTGGAATAAATGACCAAACTTCCCAGCTTAAGTTGGGGCTAAACAGAAAAGCGAATATCGAATATGAAATATGCCGTATGGTACAACGAATATCGAATATACGTAGCTCGTTTATGAACAAACCTCTCATAAAATTAGTCCTTTACCCAAACACATTTTTTCCTTTTATAAACATTCACTTTTTTGTAGTAATATCTTCATAATACATATTATATACCAAATTAATTTATTGTTCACAACCAATTGTGCATAAAATATTTGAAAATAAATATCTCAGATACAGGCATATTCATATGTATATGTCTGCAAAAAAAAAACAATGTTTTTATTATTTGTATAATTTGTAATTGAAAATTTGTTTTGTTAGTCTATGTAGCACTAATGTAACTAATAAGTAGAAGCAGCCCGGCCGTGTATACACATTGTCAAATGGCTGTCGGGCCCTTCAGTTTATAATGAATATAATAGATTTGACAGCTACTTAATTAAAATTAATTTTGTTTGCCTTTCTACTACAAATATGTTGATTGAATTCGAATCTATCAGCAAAAAGGGCAATTGAGTGAATCCAACTGTGTTGTATCCTCGCCGAGGATGCACTAGCTACCTACTGAGCTATATGGGTTAGTTTAAGTAAACGACGCTTAGTCATGCATACTTAACTGCAGCGGATTTAGTCGTTTGTTTTCTGCGCTCAATTTAAGCCAAAACGATTTGCATGTGAAAAATAAAGTGCAACTCCAATGCGAGCTAAATACCAGGTGTATGTGTGTGTGTGTGTGTGTGTGTGTAACCTGACTTATTTGCTGAAGCAATTAATGTGATGGCTTAAGGGCCATCAGGGCGGTATACCGCTATATCCGAGCATTTTCGGGGCTTAATCTCAAAGCTCCACACAGACAAAAACCGGGGGCTTAAGTAATTATGCATGCCATTTGTTGCTGTTGTTCTTGTTGTTGTTGTTGTTATTTTCTTTTGTTGTGCTTTTGATATTGTTTTTCTGTATTTGTGTGCGAGTGTGTGTGTGTGTTTGTTTATTTTTTTTTTTTTTGGCATGGCATAAGCGATAAGCGCAACCAGCACGACAGCAAGACAATTCAAATGACACATAAAACAAATACAAATACGCATGCAAAACACATGAATACAATTACGTATGGTTTGCTTCTGTGTGTGTGTGTGTGTGTGGGTGTGTGTGTGTGTGTGTGTGTGTGTGTGTGTGGAGACATGGGCACATGCAAATTTATCATTTGTGTTGGCACAAATTTGTGCCTGCCTTGTGAATGACATGAAAAAGGCAATTTAAACTGCAGATACACATACACGCACGCACTCACACACACACACACACACACACACACACATACACAGAGAGAGAGAGAGCAGCAGCAACACTTAAGTATGCGAGTTCTGCTCCACAAACATTGACGTTTCGCATTAGAGCAGTCGACAGCAGTGCGCCGCTGCCGCCGCAGGCATTACAACAATTTCATACATATACATATAAGCTGGCACACCCAAACACATACACACACACACACAATAGTAGCAACAACCAACAACCAGGCGCTTATCAGTGGCTACAACAATCAGGCAGGCAGGCAGACAAGTTGAACTCAACTAGAGCCACTGGAGCGGGACACAAAAAAGCAGTTGAGCAGCAGAAACAGGAGACAACGACCCAAACAGCCAAATGACACACATACACATACACACACATGCACAGGCACGCACTTACACTAGCTGGCATACGCACTAGGCACAAAGTCGTAGACCGTTATCACTTATGGGCCGTTGCTACACTTACTTAGTCAAACCATAGTGCACAGTGGAATGCAAATGAGTTCAAGTTGATTAAAAGACAGACGGCGAGAGAGCRAGGGAGAGAGAGAGAGGGAGTCGGAGAAGACAGAGGAGCAGTGAGTGAAAGTGACAGAGACATAACCTGAGTAAAGGAGAGGGGGATGGAGAAGAGAGAAGATGCGGAAAGAAGAAGAAGAGATAAGAAGAATAATGTAGAGAAGGGCCAGGAGAGAGAGAGAGAGAAAGAGGGCGAAATAGAGAATGAGAGACTGAGGAATGAGAATATAGCAAAAGAAGGAGGAAAATGAGTGAGAGACAGAGAGAGGAAGAGAGAGGAAGAGGGAGAGAAGGATGAAATGGAGAGAGAGGAACAAAGATCGAGATATGAAAAGTGGCAGAGAGAAAAAGAGGGGAAGAATGCAAAAGAGAGACAAAGAGTGATAGACAAGCCGACAGAGACAGTGAGAGAATAAGCGAGCGAGTGAGGGAAAGAAAGAGAGAGAGAGAGGGAGAGAGAGAGAGAGAGGGAGAGAGAGAGAAAGAGAGAGAGTAGTAAACTTACAGGAATCTGTATCTGTATCTGTCATTATAATGCTCACAATAGTATTATGAACCCTATTGTGAGCATTATAAATACACTTATACAGATCCTGCATAATGTTAAAAAAATGATCATGATGATAACACTTATGMTAAAATAATAATGATGCGAATAATAATGACAAAAGTAATTTATCCAATGAATACAATAATAATGATAATATTAATGGCACTATATTAAATTATTTACGCTGATGCTAATAATGACAAAAAGAAGATCAATATTAATAATAATAGAAATATTGATTGTAATATCAATGCTAATAGTAATACTAATAGCAATAATAATTATATGCGAATTCATATTCTGACTATTTAATGCAAACATAGAGCATCATTAATCAACTATGTAGCAAACACTCATCTTATTCATGCTAAACTCATCCTGATTATCTAGCTTTAAGGCTAAATGTATTATGGGCCTACTTATTCTGCTCCACTGTGCAATTGTGTTTTTTCTGTTTTCTTTAGGTTTCTTCACTTGTTTTACTTTGGATTGTTTTTGGTGAGAAAACGTTTTCCACTGGCGTGCTCCAAGGCGGCTGGGGCCCTAATGTCGGAGGCTGGGTTGGGTCTGTGGGGCAGCGACGACGGCCGCATTGACAACTTTTTGCTCGGTTTTATTAGCAGGCGACTGCCTGAAAATTATGGCCTCCTTTGTGTGCCTGTCTCTGTGTGTGCCTGAGTGTTTGCCTTTGTGTGTGTGTGTGTGCATACTTGTACTAATGAGACAATTTTCACTAGTTTCGTGTGCGTGTGTTGACTTAAAT